AGCCCCCCTCATGACTACTACTCTGCCCCCTGCAGTTGGTGAGGACGGCCGCGCTGCCCCCCGATCGGAGCTATGTGCTGGGCTCCCACCCCCATGGCATCATGTGTGCTGGGGCCTTCAAAGCCTTCTGTACTGAGGGCTCTGGCTTCTCCCGGCTCTTCCCTGGCCTGCGGCCCAGCCTGGCCCTGCTGGCAGGGCTCTTCCCCCTGCCTGTCTACCGCGAGTACATGATGAGTGCTGGTGAGCAGTTGCAGGCGCCCCGTGGGCAGGGTGTGCAGGAGGCGAGGCACCATGGGCAGGGTGTGCAGGAGGCGAGGCACCCCGTGGGCAGGGTGTGCTGGGGGGAAGATGCCCTGTGGGACAGGGCAGGTGCTGGGGGGAGCAGGGACGGGGAGGACACAGAAAGACACCCCTGCTGAAGGACAAGAGAGGCTCTGGGGGGGCAGGGACTGGAGGCCCAGAGACACTCACCCTCCGGGACATAAAGGGCACCGGGGACAGAAACACCCCTACCCCAGACAAGGTAGGCGCTTGGGGGCAGTCATGTGGATGCACACCAGGGACATGATGGGCATTGGTGAGGTGGGGTGGGACACACGGGGACACCCTCAGACCAGGACAGGATGGGCACTGCTGGGGGGCAGGAAGTGGGGGACGTGATGTTGAGCTCTGGGGAGGAGAAGCCTGTCGCTTTCTGGGCCATGGTACTACATGGGTGTGGGAGTCTCTCTGCCCTGGCCCTTTCTTGTTCTGCACAGCCTGCCCCCTCAGCTATAAAGGGTTTATTTGGGGGGCATCCCCTGCACATGCCCCTGTACTCCCCCTTTCCCAGGTCCCCCATGTCTTGGCTCCTCATCCATCTCACTGGTGCTAACTGCCCCCTTACCTCCATGCTCTGGAAGGGGTTAATCACCCCCTGGGGTGGAGGTGGGGATATCTGCCAGCTTCAGCCTCCCCTCTGTCCACCTTCCAGGGATGTGCCCAGTGAGCCGCCGCAGCCTGGATTTCCTGCTCTCCCGGCCTGGCAATGCAGTGGTGATTGTGGTGGGGGGTGCATCTGAGTCGCTGGACTGCGCCCCTGGGCAGCACCGTGTCACACTGCAGCACCGCACCGGCTTTGTGCGCCTGGCGCTGCAGCACGGGTGGGTACCACACAGGGCAGGGCAGGGCACCTGGCACTGCAGCATGGGTGGGTACTGCACAGGGCAGGATGCCTGGCACTGCAACACGGGTGAGTACGGCACAGGGCAGGGCGCCTGGCGCTGCAACACAGGTGGGTACCGGGCAGGGCATGGTGCCTGGCTCTGCAGCACTGTGGGTACCGCACAGGGTGGGGACGCCTGGCACTGGAGCATGGTTGGACACTACACAGGATGGGGCTGGAGCACTGGCTGGGGTGTGTTGGAGCAGGGACGGGGGCAACCTGGAGCCTGGGACAGGTACTGGGCAGGTCTTGGTTGTGCACTCTGAGAGATGGGGCTGGTGCACTGCGGGGGCCGTGGCTTGGGTGTCCGCCAAGTGCACTGGGTGTGTGCCTTGTGGTTGAACTGGGTGGACACACTGGAACCTGGAGTGGGCAGGTGGGGACATGGGCTGGGTGCTGTGGTGCCAGGGGGCGAGTGGTGCCGGCACCATTCACTGTAAGCTGGGTGCTTGGGTGACCACCCAGGAGAGATTCTGATTTACAGAGCACCCACAGCCAGCAGCCTGTGTTTCTTCTGTTGGTGCACACCCACACATGCTTTGGTGCACAAAACAAAATTTATTCCACCCATCGATGGAATAAATGAGAGGGAGCAGTGATGCGAGGGCAGGTGCCAGGCTGCTGTGTTGGGTGCGTGCTGTGTGGTTGCACTGGGTGAGGGTGCTGGAGTCTGCAGTGGGCAGACTGGGCCATGGGAAGGGGTGCTACAGTGCTGGGGGCGCCAGGTTGGTGCTTCAGGGCTTCATCCCCCGTTTCATGGCAGGGCTGCCCTGGTTCCTGTCTATTCCTTCGGGGAGAACGATATCTTCCAGCAGCTCATCTTCCCGCCAGACAGCTGGCTCCGGCGCCTGCAGCTTCGCTTCAAGGACCTGATGGGCTTTGCGCCCTGCCTGTACTGGGGGCGCGGACTGCTGCCCTTCCCCTCGCCCATCACTGTTGTGGGTGAGCAGCCAGGGAAGGTGCGGGTGAGCTCAGGGGCTGAGCTGGGTGGGTGGGTTCCACCCCCGTTAATCCCTCTCTCTCTCTCTGCAGTGGGGAGCCCCATCCTGGTGCCGCGTCGCCCCTTCCCCACCCCACAGGAGGTGGCTCACTACCACCAGCTCTACCTGGAGCAGCTGCACCAGCTCTTTGACCATCACAAAGCCAGTTGCGGGGTGCCGGCTGGCTGCCAGCTCAGTGTGGTCTAGGACCCTGGCTGAGGGCCTGCGCCCACACCAGCTGGGACCTGCCACCTGCTGCCTCAGTGTGATCTCGGGACCTGGGCCAGGCCATGTACACATTCTCCAGCATCCTCTGAGCCCTGGGGGGGGAGGGGTTTTCTCCTTCCTGTCTGCTCAGTGTCATCTGAGCCCCCTCCTCCATCCTGCAAGATTGGTTCCTCTCGGGGTTCTGACCCACCCCCACTGTGCTGCGGGTGCACGGTTATCTAGGGCAGTGTTTCCCAACCTTTTTTTTTTATAAAGTATCCCCTTTAAAAAAAATCATAAGTACCCCCAGTACCTACAGTTTTTAGAGACACATTTTTTTTCTACCATTGCAACACATTTGATAAAACAACTTAATCATAGCTGATGAACTTTTTGGGTGTAAACAGTACAAAAATAATAAAATGCTGTTAAACTTAAAACAAAAATTCAGTTTTCTCCAAATTTCAGTTGTGTTGACGTGCGCCCCAGAGATCTCTCGAGTACCCCTAAGCCTACATGTACCACTGGTTGAGAAACACTAATTAAGGTGCCCCTGCCTGGTCCCCTAGGGCTGGACTTGGGTCCCAGCTCCTCCCTACATGGAGCAGGGGGAAACCGGGTCCTGCCCTAAATAAAAGCTCCAAGAGTTATTTTGCACCTCACATCTGGGGGATTTTTATGCATCCAGTAGCCTCATTTTTATGCAATCCCAGAGCCCTCCCCCATGACAGATTGGGGGCCCCAGACCCTTCTGTCAGAGATGTCTCTCCCCCTTGTGCTGGCGCTGCCCAGACCCTCCCAGCAAAGATGGACCCCCCCCATTGGGCCGGGCACTGCCCAGACCCCCCCAGCAGAGATGGACCCTCCCCCATTGTGCGGGGCACTGCCCAGACCCCCAAGTAGAGATGGGGCCCCCTCTTGTGCCAGGTGCTGCCCAGACCCCCCCAGCA